GGCCCGGGCCGCTGCTGACCTCGCTGGCTCCGGCCCGGTTCTCCTCAGCCTGGTTCGAGCTGGTGTCTCCGTCCGCAGAGGAGTCCCCGCTGCGAGTGGACAGAGAGAGCGGGGAGGTGACTCTCGTCAGGACCCTGGACAGGGAAGCGTCCTCCAGCTGGGAGTTCATATTCCGCGTCCAGGAGAGGCAAGGTACCGCCGGGGGCAGGGCCCGCAGCCACACTGGGCGCTGGTGAAGTGCACGCGCTGATCTGTGCGCGCATAGTTAACATGGGCTGACACTGAATGTGCGCACCCGCCTACAGGGCAGCACACACTATCTACACATGAGCACGCACAGCCATGCTACATGGACACTTACACGTGTGCACAGAAGCATACATGCTTTTACAAACATTCAGAGGTGCACCAGTACAAACTAGGGATGTAACAGTATAGTTGATTAATGATAAGCAAAAGCTTATAGGTTAATGCTACAGATTGCAGGCAAGTCCCTCTCCCTGCCAATAATTTTTTCAGCAGCCTGACTCAGTCCTGGCTTGTGAGGGGTTCTGTACCTACCCCTGCTGCAGTTCTGCAGGTTAAGTGTATTACGAGCAGGGGGCAGGTAGCCTGGCTTAGTCCTGGCTCACTCTGGGTCCAGGACCTACCTCTGTTTCAACTCTGCATTTCAAGTGTATTAAGAGCCAGGCGGGCAGGCAACCCAGCTCAGTTCTGGCTTGCATGGGATCCAGGAGCTCATACCATCCCCTAGACAGGGACTGCTGCCTCTTTCACAGGGTGACAGGCAGCCAGTCTGTGAGGAGAGCTGGTTTTTAAATTGGCTCCTCTCACAGACAAACTCCCATCTGGCACCTCATGCTGCTGCTTCTGAAACAGTGGCTGCCAGCCCTGCCCTCGGAGACTATAGATTAGTCAACTAACAGATAACATTTCACAAGGTTACTCAACTATTCAATTAAACGATATTTAACATCCCTAGTACAAACCAATGTGCATATACATTAATATACATAGACACAAGTACATATACATAAGTGGAATGGAAATGCAAACATGTATGCTCACATCTGTGTACATAATTTAATAAGTGCACACTTACAAATACATGCAAGCACCCAAGGCTATTACAAATATATAGGTGTCTGCCTTTGTCAAGGTAATAAAAAAGTTGGTAGTGTAACTTCCTTTTTTATAAGCTTGCTACTTGGTCTTGTACAAAGTTCACTAAATTAAAGGGTGGAAATTAACTGTGCCATAATTTTAAACATTTGAAGTAACCTTCTTGTAGAAAGTACAATTAGAAATTTGTTTACATTTAACTTTTAAGAAATAGCAAGTTCAAAAATACTCTAAAATTGTAATCAGTAAAATTAAAACTAAATATCTGAAGCCGCGTTCTTTCGAAATTAATTCGAAAGAACGCGGCTTTTCTTTCGATGGCGGTAAACCTCATTTCACGAGGAAGAACGCCTTCTTTCGAAAGTTCCTCTTTCGAAAGAAGGCGTTCTTCAATGTAAATAGGGCTTCTTCGAAAGAGAGCATCCAGACTCACTGGATGCTTTCTTTCGAAAAAGCAAGCCGCTTTTTCGAAAGTTCAACGTGCAGTCTAGAAGCTCTCTTTCGAAAGAGCCTCTTTCAAAAGAGGCTTGCAGTCTAGACATAGCCTTAATGTACAGGCATTACAATTCTATGAGTCACAGTATAATGTTTAAAAAAAAAAGCTGTAAGGATACAATCGTGGCTGAATATTTAAAAAGAGTTAGAAATGTTTAGAAACAGTCAGTGACATCAATATGCAGCATGCTAATTTTAGAGGTAATAACACAAAATTATATTATAGAATTAAGTGATATAAATTGTGTATACAGTTTCAGTAAAGTATATTAGGGGTAGTGGGTTATTTTTACACTAAAGTAAATTATTTTCTGTGGCACTGATCCTGCATGTGCTTAACTTTAAACATGTGAGTAGTTCTATTGAAATGAGATTTGACACCTAGCATGCTTAAAGTTAAGCATATACGTGGTTGCAAGGTTGATAACATGATTTATATATTATATGATTGAATTTTTATGTGAGAATTCTGATGGTTCACAGACCCTTACAGAGTTTATACTATCACCAGAAACCCTCAAAATAAATCTTATTCAAGTAAACCAGTGGTCCCCAACACAATGACAGTCGGGGCATTTATGTGCGCCTGCTGACTGATCTGGGCTGGCCCCATGCCCGGCACATGGCGCATGGGCGGCGCCGACCTCGGGCACCCGGCATGTGAGCGGCCCCTCCCCCAGATGCCCGGCAGCCCCGAAAGGTTGGGGGCCACTGAACCCCCCTTATTTTGAAATAACAAGCGGAGTGTCCACATTACCAAACCTGTTATTTCAAAATAACGGGCTTGTTATTTTGAAATCTGTATTCTTGCTTTCCTCTGGAGAGGAGATGCTAATGCTAATTTCAAATAATGCTAATTTCGAAATAGTTATTTCGAAATAGTGTTAGTGTGGATGCTCCGCTGCTGTTAATTTGAAGTAATTACTCTCCAGTGCTTTCTGGGGCTCTAAGTTGAGGTAGTGAATCCACAATAATGAAGCCTGCTTTGGACTTATTTTGAGGCTCCCCAAAGTGAGGACACGCTATTTTGAATTGTTAATTCTGGAGTCATTATTTCAAATTTAGTTATTTCAACATAATTTCCTAATGTAGCCATGTCCTATGTGTAATAATTTACACCATTTTCACCTTTTGACAGATTTAACCTATGATTTTTTTAAATTCTGGTTTCAAATTTGAATTAATAAGCAACACAATTTTGTCTTTACTGTGTTTCTCATTTGGAGCTGTGAAAGTATAACTAAGCAGCTTACTAATTCAGAATATAGTGCCTACTCCTGGGTATGTAGTAAGTGGGGCTTTACATTATTCATCTTTTCACACTCTTTTAGATTTAACATAAGTATTATAATCTTAATTTGTTATGGCAACGGGGCATTTAATTTAAATAATTTTCACCTGAAATGAGTTTGATTTTTTGAGAAAACTCTAGATTTTTTTTCTTTACTTCTAAGTGACTTTAATTCTCATAAAAGTTTTCAGATGCTCCACAGGGGATAGTCACTACTTCCAGCCATATAACAGCTAAAGCAAAGATGGGAGTAGTTGGAAACACTTCCCATACTGCTCCTCCCCTTAATTTTTCTAAGTCCTGACTTGAGGGATCACTTATAGGAATGAGAAGGTAGTTTATTCTGTAGTACTGTGAATTCCTTGCCGACAGTGCCAATATAGGTTCTAATTAATATTATTAATTTTGACTACGTGGATGATTGTCCTTTGGGGACTGAAATCACAAACTTATTTCATGTAGGTTACTGAATAGCTATCAAACTCAGATTTCTTTCTTTTTCCCTTTCTGCTTCTGTGGAGAATGTCATTGTAGTTTGTAGGCATTGGCCATATTGTCATAACTTTTGGTCACTGTGTCGGGTTGAGTTTGAACTGCTAATCTAGAGGTGAAAGACTAAATTCCAAAGTAGGAGATTTGCCTCTGTTATATCCTCATTACCAAGTCCTGAACAAGGCTTTATGCCACCTAGTCTCTCATCAGCAAAGATGGTGACAGAAGCTATTAGGTCAATCGGCAGATTTTCATCTACTCTGTGATGTAGCCCAGCCTCATCCATTTGTTATCACAATTCTTTCTATCTGTATAAAATGCTGTTAGAGAAGTGGTAGCTAACCTTGTCCCTGGTTACTAAAAGCCTTACTTCTATGACAGTTCTTACTCTTATCTGGTCTGAGTAGACAGTGCTCTGAAGTTACTCTTGCATGATAGAGTGACATACTATATTCCAGGCAATTTACATTAACCTGGTTGAAATGTCTACACAAACTGCTTTTCCAGGTTGGTGTTTTTGTTTTGTTTTGTTTTGGGTTTTTTTGGATCTGTGCTGTACTTTCAACAATTAGCATTAGTCTCCTCCACAGCCAAGCAACAATGTCAATGATAAGATAAGACTCTTAGATATTTTAGAATGTAAATTCTGCCCTCTTTCTCCATGTTGGTCCTGTTTATTTTTTAACAATTCATTTGTAGTCTGCAACCAATAATGGTAAAAACACAGTAATATCAGATTGTTCCCAAGAGTATGGATTATTATATACACAGAATTCATTGCAAAGGTTCTAACTAAAACCAGAGAAAATGAAGGAGTTTGAATTGTGGCTAATACTGTAGTGTTTAGGTACTGCACTAGAGATGGTATGATAAATTATATATAATATATATAGGGAAAGTAAGTAGGGATCTGAGAACATTGGTATGTTTTATATACCTGTTGATAATTTTCATTTATTTTATTTTGATTTATTTGACTTTTACATGTTATTATAGGTACTTTGCAATGGCAACATATAGCATAAGAAATAATTTTAAATATTAAATGAAGTCACTGCACATAGTTTTGTGTTTTCAATTTAAATTATTTTCCAAAAGCTGATAGTTTACATTTTTAAAAATTATATTTTAATATTTGACAGCTAGGGCTGTCAATCAATTGCAGTTATATCACATGATTAAATAAAAAATTATTCAAGATAAAAAATTAATCATGATTAATTGCAGTTTTAATCACACTGTTAAGCAATAGAATACTGATTTAAATTTATTAAATATTTTTGGATGTTTTTCTGCATTTTCAAATATGTTAATTTCAATCACAATAGAGAATTCAAAAGAGCCCTTGGCTCTTTAAATCACCACCAGATCCACACTCCGTCTGGGCAGTGCTGAGTGCTGGTTGCTCCTAGCCCTGCTTCTTCTGGGGGGCCTGGAACGAACCCTGTCCCCCACTGCTTAGGGGCCGTGAAGTCTGTCACTAGCCCTGACTTCATCTAAGTTCTGCAGCACCCATAATATAAGTAATTGATGAAAAGCTGGCACATAAAAAGGAGTAAACTACTTGTATGAGATGCAGTGCTTCTGACTTGGATGTCGTCTCATGGAAGTTTGGTAAATCAGAAACTTAGATTTTATGTTGTCTGCATCTTCTTTTCCACTCAGCTTTTTGTTTCTCTGATATGTCTGGATATATGTGAGAACGCACACTTAAACAATATTTAAAATACTTGTATCCATTTTTAGATTAATGGATTGAGCTATTATTTCCTATGTTATACTAGTATTCCCA